TAGCTATTGGGAAGTCCAAGTCTAATTAATTCAATATAGAGAATTAAGTCCCAAGAGGAATAAATAGCTTTGGTTATGCCTTCACAATTATGCCTATCTCCACACATGCACCTATAAAGAACTGGAGTAACACTTTTTTTTTAAAGCAAGATATTGTGAACATGTGTAAATAAGTGCCAATTTCAACTTCAAAATGCAATTTAAATTTTCCTGGAAGACCACATAAAAACTTCTTGCCTATATTTCCAAGTAGCTGCTTATTTGTGATATAAGAAGAGAATCTTTTTTTCAGTCAGTGGTAAGGATCTGTGGGCTGAAATTTTGCACCTTTCAAGGTCTTTCCATCTGAAATGCATGTGTGTCTAAGTAAAGGGAACTGTCTGTTCTCCAGTCTGAAACATGGCTGGGTTTTTTGCATGCTTTGACAAGTTGGGAACTTCTCAAAGGGAATTACATACCGGATGATACCCCACCCAAAACTAGCATACAGTGCTAGTTTTGGGTGGGGTATAGTTAGTTTTCTTCACAGTAGCTGCTCTGGGGTTGTGTTTTGGATTTGTGCTGAAAGCAGTGTTGATAACACAGGGATGTTTTAGCTATTGCTGGGCAGCACTCACACAGCATCAAGGCCATTTCTGTTCCTCACCCTACCCCACCAGTGAGGAGATTGGGGGTACACAGGGAGCTGGGAGGGGGCACAGCCTGGACGGGTGACCCCAACTCACCCAAGGGATATCCCAGACCATTTGGAGTCATGCTCAGCACATGAGGCTTGGGGAAAGAGAAGGGAGGAGGGGACATTCAGTCATGATGTTTTGTCTTGCCAAGTCACCATTATGTGTGGTGGAGCACTGGTTACCTGGAGATGGCTGAACACCTGCCTGCCCATGGGAAGTAATGGATGAATTCCTTCTTTTGCTTTGCTTGCCTGCATGTGTGGCTTTTGCTTTATTATAAAACTGTTTTTATCTCAGCTCATGAGTTTTCTCACTTTTACTCATCTGACTTTCTTCCCCATCCACCAGGGACTAGTGAGTGAACCTCTGTGGGGTGCTTAGCTGTCATCCAGGGTAAAACTTCAACAGCCCTTTTTTAGTGCTCACTGTGGGGCTCGAAGGGTTTGAAATAATGATTGGAATGTGCTCGATGGAATTTATAGCTGTTATTGCTGTTTGGCTAACAGGTGACAGGCTCCTGTGCTTGCCGTGGGGCTCGCTGGGCTCACTGTGCACTCGAGCCCAGGGCTGATGAGTGGCTCTTTGTGCTGCGGCTGCAGCTGCAGCCCGTGCTGCTGATCCGCTCCCTCCGGGCCGGTCTGATCCCGGCGCTGCCCATGGCCTGGGCTGGCACCTGGCGCTGCTGCTCCTGTGCCGCTGTCCCGGACACGCTGCAGCTCCGCTGTG